ACCGCTTAACAATGCCTTCATCTCCCCCTGTTCACCTCCTGGCAGAACCCTTGAGTTTCTGACAACCCATGATCCAGTCATTCTCTGTATACTATTACCTTTAGTTTTACCAGAAAGTCTTAGAGTTGACACCATTCCATGTGTGTGACATTTCAAGCTGACACCCTTCACTTAGTTCTATGGTTCCTCCAGTCTTTTTTTTTCTCTGAAGCAGAGACTAAATATTTATGGAGTGCTTACGACATTCTCAACTTTATGCCAACTCTCTGAAGGAGCACCTGTTCGGTCGCCCTACTTCACAAGCCAAGCTCCACCAGCGGGGTGGGGGACAGGTCCCACCCCAGAGATGGTAAGGCGCTTCCTTCGGCACCTGGGCCTTCCACAAAACACTCAACATATGGCCCATCTGGGAAGGCTACCTGTGCAGGAGCAGCCACGGCAGCTCCCCTCTGCACCTCTGCTGTGGACAAACCTCGGGCCTCCGCTCCTTCAATCCTTTTTGATTGTTTTTATTATCATTGAAAAACTCTCCTGTATTTTCCCTAAATTTTTATTTGATAAATTTGCATGTCTCCCACAAAGCTAGAAGAGCAGATGAGTGTAACAGCAGCTGTGTATAACTTCTGGCTTCTTTCATTGCAAACACTTCATTTTTTTTTTTATGGAAAGATCTTTATATAAAAACTATGCTTTTAAAAACAAGTCTGTAAACGGGAGACATTGTAAGAAGTGAGTTAAATGGGAAGCTTTTGTACATGTGGAAATCTTCTCCAAATGGTCCTGTCGTCATAGATGTTGATGGTCTACGTCCATTGTTATGAGAACACATGCTAGCTTGCCCATTCATGAATGTGTGGAAGGCTGCCTCACAGAACACGGTGTTGTCTCTGAGGAACACTGGAAACGTGTCCATCATTTACTGAACCTTCTGAGGGGCTTGGACCTAGGGACTGTCCTCCCAGCTAATTTGAAATTTTGCCATTTTTTTTATTTGCTCCATGCAAAGCAGAGAGGGCTATCCAATGGCACTTTCACTGAGCATTCTTCCTCAAGCAATCGGATTACCACAGTCAATCTTGGAAAAACTATTTTGGGATTCTTTCTTGAGTTCAGAAACACTTCTCTTCTACCCAGCACATTTAAAATTCAAAGCAGTGTTTCCTCATCAAATAATTAAGCCTTTGTACATTCACAACATCGTTTTCCATCCAATTTGATATTCTATGGGAAGCTGCGAAGCCAATTTAGCTAGTAAAATGAGGCATCCTTTATAATAGGCAGTGTTAGTGATTAACTGCGGTGTGTGGGTTTTTTTTTTTAATTAATTTATTTTAAGTTGCTCTTTAACTATAGATAGAATTTCAGATCCTGCCAGAAGCATGGTTGGATTCTGACCTGCGGCAAGGTGATTGAGACTCTAGCTTTGGAATCAGATAGTCATAATTTATGTCTACTTCTGACCTGTAATGTCCATGTCTTAGTTATCGAGTACTATTCTAAAAGAGATAAGCCAAGAGGATCATTTTTTTTCTATAATTATATTTTATTAATTTTCATAAACATTTACAGAGATTTTGGGCTTCCACTCATTCATTGTTGCACTATTCTCTCTACCCTCCTCCCAGTTTGTTCTTGTCCAAATGCCACAGTGCTTGTCAAAGCCAGTTCTGATTAATCTTCTTTGTCAGTGTATCCTTTGCCATTCCCTATCACTCCTCCCTGAGAGAGACTTCACCCTGAGTCATAAGGAAAAGGGGATGGCGTATTCTCTTAGCTACTTCCTGCTGAAAAGGGACGCTGTGGGTTTCAGGGTGAAGATCTTCTCTCACTACTCTAAAGGGCCCCCTTGGCAGTAGGAAACACATAGACTATTATGGAGATTGATTTTGGAATTCAGATGCACTCTTATTGATTGTGCTTGGCTGTACATGTACATATCCTTCAAGATGTATCATGGGGGTGTTGCAACCTAGAAGACACAAATTTGACTAACAAGTTATAAGTACATGAGTCCAAAAATTATGGAAAAGTAAAAGAAAAGATTCTTTCATTGTTTTACAAACCCTCCCCCAGGTCCCCTCCACCATGCAGCCCTCACTCTAGTCTCCTGTGATGACAGAAATACCCAGTTACATCTCTCTTTTAGACGGTTCTCTCCCTCCTCTGCTTCAGTGCAGTATACATTATTGAACCCATCTTACTCAGTGTCTCCCTAACCCCAAGGACAGTCCCATTCTACAACAGTGGCATCATGTAATATTTGTCCTTTTGTGACTGGGATATTTCACTCAGCATAATGTTCTCCAGAGTCAACCATTTTGAATAATATTGCATGAGTTCCTTGTTTTTTAATGCAGCATAGTATTCCATTGTGCGAATATACCACAGCTTCTCTAACCATTCGTTTGTTGATGGGCACTTAGGTTGTTTCCAACTCCTTGCTATTGTGAACAAAGCTGCAATGAACATGGGTGTGCATATATCTGCTTGGATGTCAGCTATGGTCTCTTCAGGGTATATTCCCAGTAGTGGAATTGCTGGGTCAAATGGTAACTCTATTTGCAACTTTTTGAGAAAGCGCCATACTGCTTTCCACAGGGGTTGCACCATTTTACACTCCCACCAACAGTGAATCAGGGTTCCAGTTTCTCCACAACCTCGCCAGCATTTGTTGCTTGCTGTTCTGTTAAATTTTGCTATTTTGACTGGGGTGAAATGATATCTCATAGTTGTTTTAATTTGCATCAAGAGGATCATTTTAACAAATAGAAATGTACACTCAGTCAGCTTAAGAGCCTAGAAGTCCAAATTCAGGATGCCAGATCTGGGGGGAGGCCCCCTCTATAAGCCATGAAGGTAGATCCTTGTTTGCTTCAGCACAGGAAAGAAATAAACTTGTTCTCTGCACAGGAAGATGTTGCTCATCTTTCTCCCCTGGAACAGTTGTTGGATTTGAACCCCTTGCTGTTGGATTGGCAGCACAACTCCTAACCTCCTAGACCACCAGAGTGCCCTCTTTTATTTCTAGTGAGAAACAAGGCTTTTTAGACCATTCATGTCCTAGGGAACTTCTCTTTACATCCCATTAGGGCTGTAGTGGGACTAGGGAGGGTAGCATTCTACCCCCAATCCTCTTGAAATGATGTGATTTGTCACAGCATAGGGAATCATTGCATAGCTTCCATGCAGTATCATTGTATACACATATGGGGGGGGGCAAATTTAATCAATGGCAGTCTCCTCAGGGAGTTATTCCCATCTTTCTCAGTATTTCCATTTATAAAAATGCATGGATGGTCCATTTTAAGTCTTACTATAAAGCGCTGGTAGTATAGTCCATACAGAGCTGCCCTGCTAACCCAAAGACCAAACCTCTCTGGTAGTTCAAACCCAACAGCAGCTCCTTAGGAGAAAGATGAGAAGGCCCCTCCCATGTGATTTACAGCTTCGGAAACCTACTGGAGGAATAGTTAGGAGTTGGTTCTCATGATGAACTTTTGCAATAAGGCTGTAGTAATAATTACAGTGTAATATTAGCTGAGGTTTGAACACATAGATCCACATACCAGAAATAGACGCATGCAGATGCCCAATTGATGGATGAAGATTGGCGTTGTCACGGATTTCATTTTACTTGGCTCCACAGTCAGCAGCCATGGTAGCAACAGTCAAGAAGCTAAAAGGTGTGTTGCACTGGGAAAATCTACTGTCAAGGACCCCCTCCAAAGTGCTAATAATCAAGGATGTCTGTTTAAAGACTAAGGTGTGTCTTATCCAACCCATGGTATTTTCATTTACCTTCTATGCATCTGTAAGTTGTACAGTGACTAAAAATAACAGAAGAAGAATCAGTGTCTTTGAACTGTGGTGCTGAATGTCCCATGGACTCCCCAAAGAACAAGCAAGCCTGTCTTGGACAAAGTGCAATCAGGGTGCTCCTTAGAGGTGAGGCTGGTGAAACTTCATCTCATATACTTCGAGCATGTTAGGAGGAGCCAGTCCATGGAGAAGACATCGTGTTGAGAAAAGTAGGGTGTCAGTGAGAAAGACCTTCAGCAAGATGAACTGTCAACAGCGAGTGTCACAATGGAGTCAACCTGTGAGAAGTCTGGAGGATGGTGCAGGGAAGGGCAGGGTTCCTATGATTGTTCATAGGGTTGCTGCAAGTCATGGTCAACAAGATGGCACATAACTATGACTTGACCAATTAGAGTGTCAACAAAGGTGCAAATCAGTTCTGTGGAGAAAGGATAGTCTTTTCACCAAAGGAAACTAGAATCTTTGGATTCCATATTAAAAAGAAAACAGAAAGCAACAAACCCACAAAACCTTTCCATTCCTCACACCTTGTACAAAATTAACTCAAAATGAATTGTAGCCTTTCTAAAAAAGTGAAGCATGGGCTTCTCAAGAGGTATCTACATGTAAGGAACATGCCTCCTAGGTGCTAAGAAAAAGAAACCAAAGTCTAAACTTATACCAGAGTGTCTAATTCCTGTTAATGCTGGTAAATAAAACAGCTATTTTAAGGAACAAGTTAAGCAAAGCTTCTAGGAACTAGTCAGTCGTAGAATTTAAGGAAAGTTGAGACTTTGAGATTAGCTTATAGTATGTCAGCTGTATCCCAAAATAGCTTCTCAGATAACCTTACTCTAGTGGTTGCTACTGAAGAATTTCTCTTTGCAACTTCACTGGCAATGCTCTCTCATTAATATATTAAAAGGTAGTCGTGCTTCCTTAAGAGAATTTTATAAGTGCCCCCATAAGGTTTATCAAATGAATAATGGAAAGCAAAGTAGAGGTTTAGATTTTCTTGCTTGAAAGATGATTTATCTCTCTTCCAGATGTGGTTTATTTTTGGTTGTTTAGCGTCTTTGACTGTGGCAGAGTGCTCACTGGGACCCTAATGTAGTCAGTGAATTAATTGTATTTTGGTGAAGTGAAGCCTAGGTATGGAATTCACTTTCTCATTAAAATCCCCTTGTCTTATTTTCTCACAGAGCTGTGACAGAGAGCATCAATCAGCTCATCACTCTGTGCACCCAGCAAGCTCCTGGCCAGAAAGAGTGTGATAATGCCCTCCGTGAGCTCGAGGTAAGTCCTGAGGAGGCCACTGAGGGCACAGGGTATGGCACAAGCAGTACACACTCAACAGCTAATCTGACATTAGACACATTGACTTAATGGCACTGTGGAAGAAAGGCCTGGTGATCATCCATAACAGTGTCAGTCAAGAAAACCCTAGAGAACAGTTCTACTCCAAAATACATGGGGTGGTTATAAATCGTAATTAGCTTGACAGCAACAGGTTAGGTTTGGTTTTGATGTTCCTTTTAGGAGTATCTATGTGGTGCAAATGGTTAAATACCCTTAGCTAATGGAAAGGATGGATGTCCAAGTCCATTAGAGGTTCCTAGGAAGAAAGGTCAGGTGATCAGCTTCTGAAAAAAGCAGCCATTAACAATCCCATGGAGCAAACAAGAACTCATCATGAGTCAGAATCAACATTGGAAATGGGGACTAGTCCCCCATTCTTTGTCCTCAGGTTGGTTTTTCTCTCCTCTGTCCTTGCTTTTTTTACTTCCTTGGGGCACTGTTGAGGGCACAGTTTCAATCCACATAGAATGAGATTTCTTTTGTTAAAAAAGTTTTGTTTCAGAAGGCATGTGGTGTTGGATGTAGATTGAATGAAATGAGCAATCTCTCCATAAAAACTTTTGGAAGGATTATTCTGGGACAATAGGGAGAGAGATAGGTGCTGAATAGATGTGTTTCCTGAGAATGAATTATTTGTATTCATTTTACACATAATACATTTTCTGTTATACAAGAGGCTTATAAGAGAAAACACAGAAGTGACACCTCTTCACTACACAATCAAGGGGACCACAGGGCCCTGATGAACACAGTGTGGGTGTTTTTCAATGTATATTCACGTTGGTAATTTATAGCTATAGAATATGTGTATTCAGGTAAACATAATATCCACCAGCCCACTTGCATGTAAAGCAGTTCTACTAATGCGGTTTTACTTGAAAAAAGATAGATGAAGGTAGCAGTGCCAAGGGATGGTTTTGCCTCATGGGTTTTCACCCATTACAGCTGCTGGACTGTTTGGCTGAAGCTCTGTATGATGAGGGCTGATAGACGCTGTGCACTGATGCATGCGAAATGGGCTTGTTATCATGAGATTGAAGCATTCTGCACATGGTTGAGAACGTTCTTAACATTGGCTAGATTACTGGGCTTTGTGGTACAGTTGCTGGCCCTCCAGTGGGCTTCTGAGGAAGTAAATCTCATGGGAGGAGATTGCCCATCTTTCTCCCTCATGGCATCTGATGACTTTGAACCGCCAGAGAGACGCCACTCTTGGGCTAACAGCACCACTCCCCACAGACAATACTCCCAGAGCATCTATCCCTGCTAACATATGGAAATACTTTAAAAGTATATTAGTAATTTATTCTCATTTTTTTCTGATAGTAACAGTAATTAATATATTATACATAAATATGATTGACTAAAACCAAAAGTAAATGAGTTTTTAAACTCTCATTTTCTTTAAATGGAAGACTAAGAATTATCAATTTATCAAATCCAGCTCAAAAAATTTACATATTTATCTTATGTATATTTGTTGGCTTATTAGTTACCTTATGTATATCCTTGTTGATTTAAAATAGAAAGTCCTATCATTTGTCTTAAAAGATAATCTTGCATCATAATTCAAAGGAAATAAATTTTTTTTAAAAAAGGTATATGACTATAAGAAACCAGTCCAAAGACTACATACTGTATTATTTCAATTGTGACACTGAGGAAGTAGCAAAACTATAGAGACAATGAAAAGATCAGGGGTTCCAGTGGGTTGGAGAGGGATGAGTAGACGGAACAGGGCATTTGAAGGGCAATGAAAACTATAATGCATGATGCTGTGATGCGCTCTAATGTAAACTGGGCTTTAATTCATTAAAATATAGCAGTATTAGTTCACTTGTCACAAATTTATTATTGAAAAATGTTTCTTATATGAGTAAACTGTGTGCAGGGAAGAAAGTGGAGTAGATGGAAAATCTCTGAACTTAATGTACAAGTTTTTTCTTGTTGTTGTTGTCGTTATGTGCCGTCGAGTCACCTGCGACTCATAACGACCCTATGTACAACAGCCCTAAACTCTGTCTTGTGCCAATCGCACTGTCTCTGACACTCCCATCCCGATTATTCCAGTCACTGAATCAATCCACCTCATAGAGGGCCTTCCTCTCCTGCGCTGTCCCTCCACCCTCCCAAGCATGATGTCCTTCTCCAAGGACCAGTCTCTCCTCACAACATGTCCAAAGTATGTTAGACGGAGCCTCAGAATCCTTGCCTCCAAGGAGCAGCCTGGTTTAACCCTTTCCAGGACAAATCTGTTTGTTTTCCTAGTAGTCCATGGTATTCTCAATACTCTTCTCCAGCACCACAGCTCAAAGGCATCAATTCTCCTTCTATCCTCTTTGGTCATTGTCCAACTCTCTGATGCATAATAAGTGATTGCAAAGACCATGGCCTGTATCAGACACACCTTACCAGTGTTGGGGTTTCCACACGTGTGGTATAATCCTCTATTTCTACTGGGTCCATCATGTCAACCGTGAAAACTCTAAACACCAAGGTCTAAATGGCCTGAGCCCAGGTGGCACTGGCGGTGAACATGAACGCAGCCCAGGGCTTCCAGGACATGCTGAGGACCAATGTGGGGCCCAAGGGCACAATGAAGAAGCTGGTTTCTGGTGCTGGAGACATGAAGCCTACTAAAGATGGCAATGTGCTGCTTCGTGAAATGCAAATTCAACACCCAACAGCCTTCTTAATAGCAAAAGTAATGACAGCTCAGGATGACATCACTGGTGAAGCGACCACTTCCAACCTCCTGGTCATCAGTGAGCTGCTCAAACAGGCGGACATCTACATTTCCAAAGGTTTGCATCCAGAATACCAACAGAAGGATTTGAAGCAGTGAAAGAAAAGGCACTTCAGCTTTTGAAACAAATCAAAGCAAGCGATGGACAGAGACACATTCATATACGTGGCCAGGACATCCCTGCACACTAAAGTTCACCCTGGACTCACTGATGTCTTAACAGAGGCTGTTGTTGACTCCATTTTGGCCATTAAGATACAAGATGAACCTATTGACCTTCACATGGTTGACATCATGCAGATGAAACATAAATCTGAAATTGATACAAGTTTAATCCTAGGGCTTGTTTTGGACCACGGGGCACAGCATCCTGATATGAAGAAGAGAGTAGAAGATGCATACGTTCTCACCTGCAGTGTGTCACTGGAATAGTAAAGAATGGAAGTGAACTCTGGCTTCTTCGCACAGAAGAGCGAGAGAAACTTGTAAAAGTGGAAAGAAACTTCATTGAAGTTAGAGTTAAAAAAAAAAAATTCATGGACCTGAAAAAGAAAGTCTGTGGTGATTCAAATAAAGGATTTGTTATTATCAATCAAAAGGCTATTGATCCCTTTTCCTTGGATGCTCTTGTAAAAGAAGCCATAGTAGCTCTGCACAGCACTAAGCGGAGGAATATGGAGAGGCTGACGCTTGCCTGTGGTGGGGTGACTCTCAGTTCCTTAGATGATCTGAATCTAGACTGCCTGGGGAATGTGGGCCTTGTCTATGAGTATACTTTAGAGGAGGAGTGCTGAGTGAAATATCTCAGTCACAAAAGGACAAAAACTGCATGCTGCCACTGTTGTAAAAGAAGACTGACCTTGGGGTTGGGGGGAGACTGAGAAAGATGTGTTCAATAATGTATACTGCATTGAATCAGATGAAGGAAAAAACTGTTTCAAAGGGATATGTGATTATTTTTGTCATGACAGGTGTCTAGAGCAAAGGCTACATGGTGGAGTGGACCTAGGGGAAGGGATTGTAAAACAATGAAAGAGTTTTTCTTTTACTTTTCCAAGAGGGGAGTGTATGGAGGAGGAGGTTTTGAGAGGGGAGTAAAGTACAACAATGAATGAATGGAAATTAAAAAAATAAAGAGAGAGAAAGGAAATGCAACAACCCCCACTCCATCACACTATTGATTAAAGGGCCAAATAAACACATGCTTACTCAGATCAAAGAGCCATCAGAGACGGCTTGAGGGCTGTCAAGAACGCCATCAATGATGGCTGTGTGGTCCCAGGGGCTGGTGCCATGGAAGTGGCAATGGCAGGGGCTCTGGTGAACTGGAAGCCCACTTTCAAGGGCCGGGCCCAGCTTGGCGTTCAGGTGTTTGCTAATGCACTGCTCAAGGTTCTTGCTCAGAGTTCTGATTTTGACCTTCAGGAAACACAAGTCAAATTCAAGGAGAACATTCAGAATCCGGTCACCTTGTGAGTGTTGACTTGAACACAGTTGAACCCATGGTAGCAGCAGAAGCAGGCGTATGGGATAACGACTGTGTAAAGAAACAGCTGCTTCACTCCTACGCTGTGATTGCTGGCGGCGTCCTCCTGGTCAATGAGATCATGAGAGCCAGCGTGTCTTCCCTCATAGGCTGAACTGTGCATCTGTACCAAGCTTGTCTTGTCTGAATTTTGAAAACCAGAGTTATCTAAGACAAGAGCAATGGAATTTTTATTCAAGCTTCAAGTGGTTTTAAAGAAATTTTCAGTTCCCATGTTCAAATAGGAGGTCACTTCACCTGTTTAAATTCAGAAATCTACAGTACTTTCTTTTTTTTTTTTAAATTTAGGTTGTTTATTTTTCATTTCAATGAACATCTACAGAGATTTTGGGATTCCATTCATTCATTGTTGCACCCT